TGGCGAACAAAAAAAATGACTAATCAGGAATTAAATGCGAATCTGACAACCGAATTGCAAAAATAAAAAAAATAAAAGAAGCAAAAAAAAACTTGTTTTTTGGCTACATTTGAAGTATTGAAAAAAAATAAATGAAGTATGATAGACTGTGCGAATTTAAAAAAAAAAAAAAAAAAAAAAAAAAAAAAACAAATAAAAACAAAACCAAAAAGAAATAAAAAAAAATCCATAATAAATATTATTATAAAAATATCGACACATATATATACATAAAAAAAAAATATACATGCTTTTTGGTGTTGCTTCGTCATTGCTTCATCGTTTATTTAAAAAAAAAGCGAAGTTCATAAGAAAAACCGAGAGTGAGAATATATAGGTATATATAAAAAAAAATATCTACATTGAAACCAACTCATTTTGAAGGCCAGCTTAGCGTTTCAAAAAAAAAAACTTTCCGGACAATCAGAATTTCTATTTCTCTTGACATTGAATTTGCACCTGAATTTTATAATTGATTGTAGAACAACTGGCGTCAAAGGCAACATCAAAATGAGACGAGATAATGCCTGTTATATAACGCAGGACGATCACCACCAGACACTGCTCACGGTCGAGGAGCTAATGAATCTCTCATGTGACCTGAAACTGAAGCAGCGCCACAAAAAGGAGGAGATGCTTACGGAAATACTCAAGAATCTGAATCTCAATCATCGCCGCAACGTCACCGCCGAAAAGCTGAGCGGCGGCGAGAGGAAGCGGCTGTCCATTGCGCTCGAGCTGGTCGACAATCCGAACATCTTCTTTCTCGACGAGCCGACCAGCGGGCTGGACGAGGTGACGGCGGCGCAGTGCATCCGTCTGCTGAAGGCCATGGCACAGGAGGGTCGCACCATTGTCTGCACCATCCATCAGCCCTCGGCCACCATCTACAACTACTTCGATAGCATCTATGTGCTGGCCAAGGGCCAATGCGTCTTCCAGGGCACTCCGCAGGCCACGATACCCTTTCTGCGTCTGGCACAGATTGACTGCCCAAGGCACTACAGCCCCTCGGATTACAGTAGGTTCTTTGATTGTCTTGCCTTGCCTTGGTTTGCTATGACTGATTCCTGTTACCCATTCTATTTTCAGTCATTGAGGTAATTGATGCTGAGGAAGGACATATGGTTCCGTTGCTGAGTGAGCTGACGGAAAACGGCAAGCTCACTTATCACACCAAGCACCCGGACTTGCCTCTGGAGCCAATGCAGGCCATCACAACGCTGTTCGTGGAGCAGCCGAAGCGTCAATTCTTGCCCGCATTCTTCGCCGGCTCAGCTGCATCCACAGATGGCACATTGATGGGCGCTGCAGGCGCTCTGCTCGAGCAGGTGAAGGTCTTCTCGCAGCATCTGCAGACAGAGCGTCGCGACATCTCTGGGGTGCAGCAGTTTCTGGTGCTGATGCGCGTCATGCTGCTGCGCACCATGCGTGCCCGGCTAGCATTGGCCATACAGCTGCTCCATCACACGCTGTGTGGCCTGTTCTTTGGCTTAATCTTCTTCCAGCTGGGCAATCAGGGCGGACGCATGTTCGATCACTTGAAGTTCTGCATTGGCGCTGTGCTCATGATCGTCTACACCCAGGTGATGGTGCCCATACTCAGCTGTAAGTGCTCGACAGGATGCCTTAGGCCACTCATTGCAACCTTAATGCCATTTCAGATCCCGCAGAAGTTAAGGTAGTCAAAAAGGAGACCTTCAACCGATGGTATTCGCTCATGCCGTACTATATGGCGTTAAGTGTTTCTCGGCTGCCGCTGCAGGTGCTTCTGAATCTTACCTTCATGGCCATGACTTATTGGATGTCCGGACTGCCCGAGCAGATGTGGCGCTTCTGTATTTTTGTGGCCGTCGGACTGATGATCTCCCTCGTGGCGGAGGGCATGGGCCTGGCAATTGGCGCTACCTTCAGTATAACGGTAAAATATATACGAATTATTATTGACATAAATGTTGATAATTCAATGTTATCCCACAGAATGGCAGCGTGGTGGGTCCAATGATTATAGCACCGCTCATGGGTCTGGCTATTTATGGATTTGATTTTGCCTCTCAAATTCCTGGAGCCATGAATGTCCTCATGAAGTTTAGTTATGTGCGTGTAGGCGTGGTAGCCCTAATATTGGCCGTGTTTGGTTTCCAGCGTGAGGAACTGGACTGCGATGAGATCTACTGCCACTTCAGTGATCCCCGAGTGCTGTTGAAATTCCTGGACGTCGACAAGGTATCGATACTTCATCAGTTCGGGCTGCTGGCTATGCTGATGATCTTCTTCCGTGTGATTGTGTACATCAGCTTGCGAAAGCGCTGCTACACATGAGCAGCAGCTATATATAATATCTATATATGTATATATAGTTATAGAAAAACGTCTATGCTGTGATTTGGTCTTATACACCCACACGTAGTGCAGGTGTTTAACTAGTAATAGAAACTTAACTTACAGTTGTACATACTTCAAACTGTTAAATGTATTTTGTGCTCAGTTGATTGCCCCTTGTAAACCCTAATGTAAGTCGGTGCTTAGATACCCACTAATAATGTAAATATGTCACAAATATATCTAATATAGGTAATATATGTTGACAAACGCACTTTAATGCCTTTTATATAAGATTAATTGTTTGTAAGAGTTCTGGTAATAGTGACGTACATTTATAAGAGAAATTATATTTTTACATATTGAAGAAAAAACTATTAAAAACCTGTTTATTATTTTAAGCTCCAGCTGGTAATTAATGCTGTGATTTGGTTGTTGAGCTGCGCCAACAAAAGTACTCTTAAATCAGTCTTTGATTTCATTAAATTATATATTTTTATGTCTGCTCTGAAATAGAAATAGAAAGTACTTTAAATGTTTAAATTACAGTTTCCTCTTATGAGCTATCGCGCTTAAGCTATCGATAAATATTCTACAGGCCGATTAGTCGAGTCGGCAACAAGTGCACCCTGTGAAGTCTAAATTGGCAGCACTATGATCAATTTGTTTTGGTGGAAAGTAAAAGTTTAAAAATATTTAATATACATTTGCACATTTATTTATTAAGTCAGCTTATTTAAGCAAGGTGATTTTATATTGTGATAATGCTGCTAATAGCAAGATGATGTCCATGATGAATATGTAAATGTACGTGTATTTTTGTTGTTGTTGTATTAGTTATTAGTTATCTATAATAATGCTTTTAAATTAATATTTGATTGAAGCACCACTACAATCCCATTTCGATGTCAGACTCATCGTTGGGCAGCAGATTGGATGCAATGTCTGGCGTCTGCTGGTGCATTTGATACATTTGTTGATTGTGCTCGGATTCTGCCTTGGTCACAGCCTGGATGTGTTCACGTAGCGGCTGGAGCATGTCGATCACCTGTCTGAACTCAGTTGTCAGCTGTGACGGCAAGCCCATGAGCATTTGGTTGACACAGTCATCTATGACGGCATCCACTTCGACATTGTTGCCATGCCCGAGTTCTCCACAAAGATAAAGCAACGTTTGCAGGCCCAGGATGAGCTCTCGCGTGGCCTCCACCTGGACGTTGCTTTGAAATGGCGCTGCCTTCATATCCATTTCGGCCAAGGTGCGACACTTCTCGTAAAGCTTGTTGCGCGGAACGCATTTACTCTGCATTGCCTCCTTCTCGTACTCGGACAGATGATTGTGGGCGACGCGCAGTGGCTCCAGAATGTCAGCGTTGACGCGATGGAGGGTTATCATATTGGCCGCATACCGGCGCTGAAGCTTCTCACGAAGCGGCGTCTGCTTTGTTTCACGCCGGGCGGGCGCTGGCATGCCACTGGCCTCCACTTCCTCGTTCATGCTGGCCATGTCCTGCACGGTTTTGCGCTTGAGGGCCACCAGCTTTTGTAGCTGCAGCAGCGAGTCGAACAGAGCCTTTAGCTCTTCGCCATCATCAGATGCCTGTGAAGGCACCTCCTGCTTCTCGTCAACGCCTTGTATGATGCTATCCAATGATAGGGCTTTGCAGTCTTGCAGCACGTGGAGCTGCCAATCAGGCACTTTCATTACGGTATGCTTTCCTGCCACATTGAACTTGACCTGGTAGCTGCTGTCCCTGGGCTCGAAACTGACGACACGCCCCTTGCAAAGCACCTGAGTTGGTATATTTAAAAGGCTGACCACCTTGCAGTCCACTGATAATGGCATAGGAATGAACTTAGGCATCAGTTCCAATGATTGTGCGTCCTTTTCCGCATTGAACTTTCGCTGCTGCAACTGGCGGACAACGTTCCGGCAGCGCTCCATCTCGATGCGCTCCCTGGCAATGAAAGCTGTAGAGAACCGACGAGCCTTGCCCATGTTGCGGCGAATCATCTGCCAGGCACGACGCGGCAAGTGGCGCGTCTCCACCTGGGGATAGAAACTCTGCACGTAGCTGTTCATGTCATAGGAACTGCTCAGTATTGCCTTGTCGATAAAGGATTCGATGAACTCGCACCAGATCCAGCGCTGGCAATTTGGCTGCTTCAGATATTTGTACAGTCTCTGACTGACCGTGAAAGTGGGCTCGATGTCCGCCTCCTGGACGCCCTCAGTAGAGGTCTTGGCACGTAGTCGCTTACTGAACTTCGGCAGCTTGATGAACAGCTCGCCATCGTCCTTGTCCGCCGTCTGCGATCGGAGCAGACGTTGCGATTCGTTTGCCTTCGACATCCTCTGCACGCGGTGTAATCCAATATTTGATAGCTGTGGCGGTGTTACAGCGGTTTCGGTTTTGGTTTCGGCTGTTTCTTGACTAATATCTGCAAGGGGCTCAGACATTTTGTTATTTTTTTGACAGTAGCTTTCAAATGCTACACGATGTAAATTTTACCGGCGTCTACTTTTTTTTTCCTGACTTAACAGAGACTACTTGCTAGAATAATCATGACTGCAAATAACCAAAATGACATTTCCGTTGCGACTGCAAATTCGAAATTGGCTCAAAACAGAGTTGTTTTTTTAAAGGGGTGACCATACTTGCTTTATTGAAGCTCAACGGCTTCTGTGGATTTTTTTTAATGAAAAACAATTTCATGTTTATTTTACTTGGTATTTATTACATTTTTTTTTTTTATATTAATTTTAATGGTGACCCAAAGTCAACAATTAAAGCTTTTTTTAATATGCAGTTTCTTGAAAATTTCGGACTGCATTAGAGCCAGTTCGACTTTTTTTTCTTTGACAGCCCAAACATCTCGGATAGGGATTCCATATCACAGGCTTCTTTGCTCGTCATCTTGGCCTTCATTTTCGAGAGCAATGCATCCATTTTGGAACAGTCGGTGGCCAGAGCAGGATGAGTTTCTAGATTCACAATTTGTCCGGTTCGGCTGGCAATTTTTTTTTCACGCAGCTTCCGTGCCCCGTGAGTAATCATCATCTGAATGCAGATGCTCAAAATGACAATTAAATTAATTTAACAGAAAGAAGATACTCACGTCCATTAGTTTCAGACCGATTGGCCGATCTGCCTTCTCAATGCCAAACTTCTCACAGAGATTAACGCAGGTGTGCTTCAGGGAATGAATCCCGATGGTGTTCAGAGTGCCATTGCCAGAACTCATCATGTAGAACATTCGCACCACCAGGCACCAGCGTTGACGTTGCCCCGGAGTTGCCTTCTGCCAGACGTGACTTCTGCCCATATAGCTGTGGCCATTGTAGTTGACATCGAAGTGCGGCACAGGCAGCGCCACCCAGTAGCTCAGCTCCGAATCGATCATGGAGTCAGGCATAGCCACAGAGGCCGGCTTCGGAAACTTTTCTATAGGCAACTTGATAGCCACGAGGAAGTCGAACACTATGCTCGTACTGCACTTCGCCTTCAGCTGGGTGGCGATAATGGTGTGGGAACTGACCGGATATAAAGATGTGTGATAGCACAATTGGTAGCTACGTCCAGAACCACCCTTGCATGTAATCTTGGGCTGTGGCCTCAGCAAATTACTTAAATCATTGCGTAAATGGGTCTGTAAATAAACGGCGGAGATCAAAGAATCCCCAACAACCTGCTCCTTGAACACCGAGTGCAAATAGATGCAGTCGTCGTTTTTGATTTCCGTGTAGAACGGAAAACGCAGATCCAACAGCAGATAGCAATTGAAGTTGGCGGGCAAATCGACCTTACTTCCGCTTATATAGGTTGCTGCAAATGGCGATGATGGCAAACAATGCGAGTAGAGAATAGAGATCAGTCCTTACCAGTAGCTGACAAATTGCTGAAACTGCCAGCGAGCATTGAGCGACGCTGCTTGAGTGCTGTATTTATCCAGCCAGCGATATAGGCCGAGTCATAGAGAAAGTCCTTGTGCTCCTTCGGAGTTACCTTCATTTGCATGACAATATTCTGCAGACACTTATCGAAAGTTGTAGACATTTTTCTTCCAATTCCCCAATTAAGGTGATTTCTGAATCCAGGTAATTAACAAAATAATATTCGAGGAGTTGAAAATTTTGCGAACCCTATTTTTTGTTTGTTTCTAATACGATTCATAGAAAATATTTCTACTTTCGTAATATAATAACGACTTCTCGAAGAACGTAAGTTTGACAGTAGACGCAAAGCTACTGTAATGGAACGTTGAATATTTCAGAGTGAAGTGAATAGCAGACGATTTCGTTTAACGGTACTTTTAGTTAGTATTGTCAGCAGCCTTGAAGCATGGGTTTTCAATACTGCTTAGTTGATGGGAACGGAACGAATAGAAACGATTAGTGGGAATGGAATGATCAAAAACAGATTCAGCTTAATGGCTGCTAGCAGACTGTTGGTATATACATATTTCAACCCACTTTTATAGAGAACTCTACTTTCTTATGTACAATTTACAAGTTTGTATTGAAAAAGTATGGAAAAAGTTTATGTACCGAAATTTCGAAAATCCGCTTCGAAACCGATTTGCAATTTAATTTACATTGGAGATATTAGGGTAAAAATAAAAGTTTCGATTAGAAGTTGCATTATTTTTTCATGGTGCCAAGTTTTTCCTTGCGTTTCTTCACATGCTTTTTTACTTTGACCTTTCGCTGTTCGGCCTTGGCATCCTTAACCGCTTTCTTACGTGCCTTTTTGCTGTCTGGGGATTCGTCACGTGGCCGCGCCGAGTTTTTAAACTTCGACGTTTCATCTTCGTCCTGGGAATCGCTTTCGTTCTCACTCGACTGCTGCTCACTTTCCGCAGTTTTATTTTCTGCATCCAAAATATCTGGTTTCTTCTGCACATCTAAAGCTGAGTTTAGACCTGTGATTTTCGCATATACAAGATCTTGCTGGACACCCTGCTTGGCTTTCGCCACATCACGCTCAAAATGGGGCACCTGCAAAGAGATATTACAATAAATTCCAATGCGAGAATCTAAAATGTTCGTTAGCTACTGACCTCATCGAGGCGTTTGGGAATGTAGGTGTTTTGCCAAACAGCCTCGTCGATCTTTTCTTGCGCAGTGATGGCATCAAAATCCCGATCTTTGATACGCTCTGAAATACGTTCCAAGCATTCCTCCATATTCTGCTCGTTTATGGTTTGGTCTGTGATGAAGTCGAACAGCTCCTTCACCGTCATGGTGGCCACTGCCTTTTTGCGGAAGAACTCGGATATGTTGGTGCAGTCTTTGCGTAAAAAGTCGAACGCGTGTGGATGATCGTGTTCGACCGCCTGGCTGACATCAATTATCACCAGCTGGCCGTCTTGGAACAGTATATTGAATTCTGAAAGATCCGCGTGCACCAGTCGGCATTGATTGTAAATGCGCCACATGATCACCACGCAGTCGCGGTACAGCTCACGTGCCTTTGAAGTGCTGAGTTCCACATCTTTTAGCTTTGGCGCCGGCCAGCCATCGCGACCGCAGAAGCGCATGACCAGCACATGCGAGCGCAGCAGAATGGGCTCGGGAACGGGTACGCCAGCATTGCGCATGCGCAGATAGTTGCGCATTTCCTTCTCGGCCCAGGTGCGCACCATCTTTCGAGGATTGTGTTTGCAGTAGCCATGACGGAAGCGAAATTCGCCTGAGACATACTTGTCGCGATCCTTGAACACAAGTATAGAGGTCTTGTAGATTTTAATGGCGTACTCATCTTCCCCATTCTTAGACACTGCATGGTAGACGTTAGCCTCCTTTCCGGTGGATATGCAGCCATTGATTTCTTGAATGAGACCACGGTTAAGCAGCTTGAATAGTATCATTCTTGTGCGTGGATCCATAACCTGTTCTGCCGTTGCTCGATCATGCTTATCACGCACTCGTACTCGCTCCGTCTCCTGACGACGATCAAAGCTCACCAGTCGGTTGGCTGCCTGTGCGCTCATATTGGTGTTTGGATCATACTTCTCCACATTTATGCGTGCCGAATAGCGACGCAGTACTTTCTCATTGGGCTGGTAACTGCTCACGCGCTGCGTGCCGCCTCCAGACCCGCTCCCAATGCTGTTACTACCAGTTGTAGTTAGCTGTGGTTGAGCGTTGTGCTTGTTGAAACCACTGTAGGATTCCTCGTAGGCATCGTAGTCGTCACCAACATCAAAGGCATCGTCTTCATCTTCATCAGCATAGTCTGAATCCGTTTCTTCGCTTGAAATTGCACTCTCTATAACTTTCTGGCTAAGTTCGTCGCTAGCATCTTTTTCGTCAAGTTTAATATTCTTGAAAATGTCATCCTTCACTGTAAGGGATTTAAAGTCATGAATCCACTCAGACTTTAAAGCATTGAATATTAATTATTAAATAGTTCTTAGCATTCCAAAATTAATTTTAGCTTACAGCTTTTAAGTCTTCTTCATCTTCCTCTGGATCGCTATATTTGTGTTCATCAGTCATTATGTGAGTGAAAGCAAAGGATATTTGTAGATGTTGAATTTAATACTTATCACGAATTTGAGGGTATTGTATAGCCCCCCTTAATATATTCAAAACCTCTGCAAACCAACTTTCTGGATTAATAACAATTGTGAAATGTATGGAGGTTGCACGTGTAATTCACGAACAGCTGATCCGTTTGCCAATCACATCGCACGATGACAAAACTATCGTATATCGGTATAAAATGTTAGAAAACAGCTGTTCTGTTACCGCCAGGAAATCCACGCTATTCATAACAAAACTGCTGAAAACAAATAAGCCACAATAATAAATGGTGCCGGCTGAAACAATTTTGCTCGTTTGTAACCAACTAAATTAGATTAAAGCTTTTATAAGCAATCGGTAAACATGTTTGTACTGGCAGAACTTAAAGATAATGTACGCATTGCTCCAGATCATTTCAATTTAAAGCTCGTGGACGCCGTGCGCGATGAAATTGACCGGAAGCTGGCAAACAAGGTAAATAGAAAGATTTGTGAATGAAACTATTGATTAACATGTCTCTCGCACTTGGCAGGTCTTGCTCAACGTAGGCTTGTGCATAGCAATGAAGGAAATTGTGTCACTGAAGGACTCAATAATATTACCAGGAGATGGAGCCTCACACACGGAGGTTCTGTTCCGCTATATAGTTTTCCGCCCAATGGTAGGCACTGTAATGACTGGCAAGATAAGGAATTGTAGCCGCGAGGGAGTTAACGTGACCCTGGGCTTCTTCGATGATATACTCATACCACATGCTGCACTGCAGCATCCGTCGCGTTTTGATGAGGCGGAACAGGCCTGGGTCTGGGAATATCCCTTAGATGATGGCGGCAAACATGATCTATTTATGGATGTTGGCGAGCCAATTAAGTTCCGTGTCTCACGGGAAATATTCGAAGAAACATCGCCCATCGGTCCACCAAAAGCAGAAGGTCAACAGTCACAAAATGCCAGCAGCTCCAATGCGGCAGCCGCAGCGACAGCAGCACAGGAAGTGAAGACGCCCTATAAAATTATCGTAATTATAATTCTGAATATCAAAAGAGTGCCACATTGCTCAATTATTTGCTTATTTTCAGGGTGCTATCAATGAGTCTGGTCTTGGTGTGCTCTCCTGGTGGGATCAACAAGGCAAGGAGGAGGAACAAGACGTTGAGGACGGCGAAGATAATACGGAATACGAGAACGACGATGATGGCGAGGGCGCCTGCGAGGAATGACAAAGGAGTAGTGTAGCTTCAGCTCAAACATCTGTAAATAATTAGCTATTAAGGCAAAAGCATCTTTATTTTTAGAAAATTATGAAAATACAAGTAAGAAAATTGTAGTCATTCACTGTAATGTAATTCTAGCTTGCCTCAATTCTCAAGCAAATGTCCAAAAATGTGTATGATTTGTTTATCCTCCGGGTCGTTTCTTTTTATCACTGCAGCGAGCGGCTGTTGCTGCCTCTGAGAGCAAAATTGTAACAAACATTTTGGTAAATCAACAGGCGAACAGAAATGAGAATTAGGGAGATCTTAATAAGCTATATTGTCTTAGCTAAGACTCTATTGTAATGGACTGTTATTTAACAGTGTGGGTTATGTTAAACAACAGCTAATGAACATTATCACGATTGAGTGATAGTAGGTTATGCAAAGCGAACAGCTGATTTGACAGCGTGACGTCATTATTTCAGAAAATGGTGGGCGCGCGTTTGAATTTGTATGAAAATCWAGCAACTTTGACACTGTTATTTGTCTTTAAACTAGTAGACTAAATAAAATGAGCTGGGCCGCTAATCACATGTTCTATAAAGATTCACGAATCGGAAAATATAAAGGTTTTTGCTAATTTTTATACCCTAACCCGTTTTCTAAGCA